AGTATTTTAAACTGTATAAAAAAAATTGAAATCAATTGTGAAAATCCATTCCTTATATAGGACGTTCTCTCCTGTTTATGGAATGTCCATGTTTATCAGCACGTACGTTACGTTTAGGTGAAAGTTGAATATTATCCTAATCTATCGCAACACTAATTTATGTTTTTTCCTCTTAGCTCTGAACGTCAAAGTATTGCCAGCGCAGATAGGAAACGTGGTTCAAATGATGAAGGCAAAACAAAATTGGGACAACGGCCAGATATCATGTTTGTCATGAAAGATAGGGGGAAAAAATATGAACTTATGTATACTGAGTGTTCGCGTTTATTTTGCACAAAGAATAAGCAAGATGATGATGCTATGAAGTTGTGGCGTGAAACAAACGATGGGATGGCATTGGTCCACAAAGGTTGCAAGCCCGACAAGGACAAATTTGGAATTATCGGATTACAAGTAGCGGGCTCTATGCTATATTTGAATGTTCTTTTCAGGGATGGAGCTAATATTGACCGATATTATCATCTACACAATTCAAAAATTCCGGTACAACAATCAGATTCGGTTGTCATGGCTAAATTTATAGACCTTGTTGATTTTGAGGGTAAGATACTTTTAAGTGGGTTTTAACTTACGATTTCTAACTTTCACACTACTGTATTCTGTAGAATATCATATATGTTAATACATCTTTGATACCTTGTGCGCCATTAACAAAATCGATCAGGAATATGGAAAACAGCTCAACAGTAGATTCTGAATAACAGGTATACCCCCACTCCCTTTCTTTTATATTATTATCAAATTAATAAAGTAAATTTTAGAGGCGAATTTACCTCTCCATAATTAAATACTGACTTCGTGTCTTGAGATATCCTATATACCATTACTATGTATATGGGATGATCAAAATTTTTTCCTGATCCAGAATACATAAAAAGCCAAATCGATATTATTCACTTTGAGATATATACATACCTCTTCATAATCAAATATCGCTTTCACATCTTGCGTATTCTTATTTATGATAGTTATCCTGGTTTAAAAATTGCATATACTGTGTAGGGTTATCAGTGAATCTACCTTGAGTTTTTCATCTGTTATTTTTAGATTTGCGAGACATATTTGACGTATATATTAATATGGATAAACGACTTCAATTTTTTGCAAAAGTGATTGTAATCCGCATTAACGACATCAAAAATTATGATCTCATAGGACCTTATAAAAACATTGCTGAAAAAACGATAAATAAATAAAAAATTATATATATTGGTGGAATTTCACATTTGATCTAACATATCGCTCCGTTGACATTTTTATTTTTATTTGTATGCAATGTCATATGTGGTGATTAAACGATCTGATTTTTTATAAGTTTTACCGCTATTTAAAATCGTAGTAATAACCAGCATCTTCATCATCATCATCATCAGAAGATTCCTCATTATCATCATCGTCTTCATCCTCATCATCGTTATCATCATTATTCATCATCATATTCATTATCCTTATTACTCTCAAGGGGGGTTAAGTTAGAATCTGAAGAATCATCGAATACGCTTGCTTGTATCTCTGTTGATACCACTGGAATTGTTTCAGAATTAGATAGAATAGATGTATTACTCACCTCAGTTGAGTTGGAAACTTGAAGCTTTTCTTCTTCGGGTAAGTCATCTGAAGAATTGTCCTGATTATCAGTGAATTCTAGGTCAGACTTTTTAGCGAAATGATCAATAATTGTTTGAATCTGTAGATTAGTAAATCTTGAAATACTATCTGCAGTATAAGTTTTGATATATTGAATTTTATCCATTCCTATTTTTTCGAATAAATTATAAACTCTTAAAGCTTTTTGTGTTTGTTTGCATAAGTTTTCACGCTTTGTATTAGGAAGTTGTTGGATAATAAAATCATATACTTGACCTTTTGCTTTTTTCTCCCCAACTTTTCCATCAGCCATAAAATCTTTAACCATACCTTTAGACTTTTTAGCATAGAAACACCAACATAATATTTCTTCTCGATTAGCTTTTATAGCATCTTTTTCTGCATTGTATGCATTTTGATATAAACAGATTATGTCTTTATCTGAAGTAGAATAATCTATTTCGGGCACATAATTTTGAGGAATATTGTTTGATGAAATTTCAGTTATATTATTCTGATATTTAATAGATATCTCTTGTATTAAACCTTGCTCTTTTTTCTGATTGGAAGGAACACTAGATTTAATATTAGATGCGTAAGTGTCCTCTTTCGGAGAATTTCCAGTAGGTGCCTCACGTTGAAGCTTCCACCCCCTATTTCGTTCTCTTATTTCGTTACGAATCCGTTCATTATCACTTTCAACCAGAAAATCAATCATATTATTCATTTCCTTATCTTTTAACGATTCAGACTCTGTGCAGTTAGATGGTGCAAAACATTGAGTTAAAGACTCATGACGTAAATCACAATTTGAAGATGCGGGGGTATCATCACATTGTTCATCTATCAGTTCAGAAGTATCATCAGAATTCGTTTCACAAAGGATAATATTAACTGAAGATTGATTAGTATCATCATCTAATGATTTGGTATTAGTATCAATACAGTGGTTTATAACTGGATCGGATACATTAACAATATTCTCAAAATTATTAACATTTTTTAATTGTTTCTCTTCCAATTTCTCAAATTGTTTTTCATTTTCTTTTTTATACCGTTCTAGTTCCTCAACTCTAGCTTTGAGTTTCATACTCTCAGCTTCACGCCTGACATTTTCTTTTATTATTTCTTTTAGATCCGTATTCTCAGCTTCAACCTCTACATATTTCTTTTTAATTTCGTTATTCTCAGCTTCGATCTCTGTGAACTTCTTTCTGATTTCATCAATCTGAAGAACAATCCTGGAATTCAATTCTCTTAATGATTCGATTGTGGATTGTGTATTCGTCATTGTTTTATTATAATTTTATTAATAGTATTCAATTCTTCGTTAATCAAGTGTTCTGCCAAATTTCACAGAACAATGTTCGCTGAAAAATGCCAAGAAAAATTCTCTATCATATATGGATAACATCAATAGTAATACATCAGAAAAAATAAATTCATGAAATCAAGCCATGAGGGCCAGCTTATTGAGATCACATAAGGTAATTATGAATCCTTATAATTAATAAATAATCAGAAACAGTCCTCATTGAAAATTATAGGATTAACACAATTGAAATGTTAGTCAATCTTTATTATTTATTTTTGATTATCATAACCTTTTATCAACAAAAAGATTTTTTAAGAGATTCAAATAGTTACAATACTACTAACATGTTGTAAAATAAATGTGCTTTTTATGAAACCCTAAGTTCTTCTTCCATAGCACATAAAACATAATAAAAATCTATGGTAAGAGGATTAGGAATTGATGAAGGTATTTGGAAAGTTGATGGCATTCCATGAAAGAGGCATTTGATATTAATATTAACCATATATTGTTGAGGTTCAATAAGAATTATTTGGTCATCACTGTCAATGGTTTTAAACTCAAATTCCTTTAAATACATATATATAAATATGTTAAATCATTTCCTATCAACCTATTTTATATTAATTAAATAATAACTTATCATACCGAAACTGGTACTAAGTCCCCCATTGGTGTCCTGTCATTTGTGCAAAAATGCCATACCTGTCAAAAAATAAAAATTGTAAAATGATGGTAAGAACTAATCCAAAAGATTATATCTTCATATTATTACTCACTTTAATTTTTGAAATAATTGTGCCAGATTGTACTAATTTTACTGCAATTGCATCATGAGCTCTACCTGGATAGAGCCAATAATCTTTTACTGTATTTAATAAATGTCTTTCAGTTTCCGAGGAAGCAACTTCTATTGCAAGATTGGGCCATGGTTTATGCTAAAATGTAATAATATTGATATTGGAAATTTGATTATGATAAAGGAAAAAATATTTAAAACTCCACATACAGAATTAGGGCCTTCACGTCCATCAGAATTTACTTGAGGTTTGCCTTTTGGTACAAAAGATCCATCTGCTTCTTTTCCCTTACCACTGGCCTTTGTTCCTTTTATTCAATAATAGAAGGCATGTTTGAGTCATCTAATAGCATGATTAAACAACCCAAAAAAGTTAAATACTTACGAACAGATCCTAAAGCAACAAGCATCATTTCTGGATCCTTCAAATGAATCAGTCTTTTAATTGCTTCAGAACAAGTCTCATGAGGACCTAGAGGTAATTCATAGACATAAACTTTCCTATCTATCCACTCCCAACTTCCATGCACATTAAACATATCAGTTCGCTCTGAATATTTCTCCCAATCAACATCACTTTTCAGCATATAGGGTAATCTTAACATTATGCATCCAATTGATGTTAGTACTGGTTCATACAATGAAGACAGTAAGGCAAAAAAAAAAATACTTACGAAGCCTCTTCCCATTTTGCTTTCGGATGTAAATTCCCTTGGATCCACCACAATTCTCGAAATTTTGTCAGAATGTCATTAGATTTAGAAAGTTGAATGGTAGCACCGCTAGGGACAATTCAGAGAGTTAGCCAAAGAATTTGTAATTGCACAACATTTTTATTCACCTTAATGTCTTGGCAATAGAGTTATCTCTTGAGGTTGAGTTCACTCTTGAAGTTGAGCTGTTGCGCATGATTAATTAGAATGGCACTTAAGAATTAGCCAAAGGATATTTATAATCAAACATACCTTGATGTCTCACTAACAGAGTTTGTTTCTTTTGAGATTGAACTTCTGTTAGTGTATGGCGGTTTGCAGTTAGAGTTAGAGTCAGAGTCACCTTCTAAAGTTATCATTTTTTACAAAAGGGAAAGTAACGATCAGGTCACACAAATGTTATATGTGATACAGCCACAATCACCCGTAGAAATAAAATTGACCTTATTCATATTCATGAGTATTTTTGTCCTCAAAATTGGTTTTGTTAATCATATTATTCACGGAAATGCTAACATTATAAACAAGACAGGTTCGGTATGTAGGATATAAAAAGAAAAATTCTTATCGCTATGTTTGCCAATATCTCATGTTGAAACATTTGCATTATTATATCTCTGGAAAAAATCGTTAATAATATTAATATCCCTGAACTAGATGCATGCTCATCGTGTTTTTATTTTTGTAGAAAGTACACACTCTGAGTATTAAATAGAGAATTTTTTATTTACTAATTTTAACTGAAAGCTCTCCTAACCCATCTCACAAATTCAGTTTATTTATATCGTTCATTTTCTAAATCTGAAAACATGATTAGCAATTACATTACCTAACCATTTCTCAGATCCTTTCTTCATAAGGGCAGGTCTATTAAAATATAGGCACCAAGCACTGAGTACATTTCGTCATCTATGGGGGGAAATTAAGCTTTTCAATCTGCCGATCGCTTTTGTAGAATGAAAAACAAGTCAAATTTTGGCGATCTTCGGAGATGGTAAAGATCTCAAGTTCCATAACGTATGAATTTTGATATTATTACTGATAAAGAACAATAAACTCTCCTCATTCATATTCTTTTTGAGTCTCATTTGTATTTTTTCTTATCGGTAAAGCTATCTACAGTAAGGAAAAAAGGCTTTATTAATTCCATAATCTATAAATATAGCGAGAAAATAATTTAGCAGTATCACAAATTAGTCTTGTGGAACATTCAACTATATATATATTAATATCTCGATTTTTTACCATTTATCAATATATTCTCACATATTCGCTCAAACCCCATAATCGTTTGCAAAATACGATAAAATGATTCAAATAGAATTTGCACAAAAAATGAATCCAGTTTTAACTAACAATATAAAACCAAATCTAATAGGTCTAATCCTTAAATTTGATATAAATCACATATACTTCCATAAACACTACAAATAGGTTATATAAAATGGCTAGCTTAAGTGAAAGACGTGGAACTAATTGTACTGATGCTGAATGGGATGAAATTCTGGAGATGGGTATTGTTTCATCAAATGAGACTCCTACAGAATGGATGAATCGAATTTGGCCTCACTTACAATATTTCAGAGAAAATAATCTTATACCTTAGAAAATACTTTGAAGCCAGAAAATTAATAACATATTGGTCTGCAGTTAATGAATGTTATAAAAGCTATGCACCTGAGATTGGACTTGCTATCTGTTTCTCTTGTAATCAACTTATATATATTGGAGAACAAATTAAAAATATAGGTAATTATAATCACATAGGAATGGAAAAACATTGGGCTTCTCATTGTACAGGAAATGCATATTGTGGAGTAAATTATGATGAGTACTTACTGAAAATCGAACAAAAATCTATTTCAGAATATATTTATGATAATGAGTATGCAATACACCATTATGAATTGTGGATGCAGAATGCTATTAGAAGAGTTAATCATGCAAGAGAAATTGTCTTCGGAGATGGTAAAGATCTCAAGTTCCATAACGTATGAATTTTGATATTATTACTGATAAAGAACAATAAACTCTCCTCATTCATATTCTTTTTGAGTCTCATTTGTATTTTTTCTTATCGGTAAAGCTATCTACAGTAAGGAAAAAAGGCTTTATTAATTCCATAATCTATAAATATAGCGAGAAAATAATTTAGCAGTATCACAAATTAGTCTTGTGGAACATTCAACTATATATATTAATATCTCGATTTTTTACCATTTATCAATATATTCTCACATATTCGCTCAAACCCCATAATCGTTTGCAAAATACAATAAAATGATTCAAATAGAATTTGCACAAAAAATGAATCCGGTTTTAACTAATAATATAAAACCAAATCTAATAGGTCTAAATCCTTAAATTCGACATAATCACATAATCTCGAAAAATACTATAAATAGTTTGTATAAAATGACTAGCTTAAGTGAAAGACATGGAACTAATTGTACCGACGCTGAATGGGATGAAATTCTGGAGATGAGTATTGTTTCATTGAATGAGACTCCTACTGATTGGATGGAACAGATTTGGGAACGTCTTGCATATTTTAGAGAAAATGATCTCTTACCTTATAATAGTAAAAAATATCTTGAAGCCAGAAAATTAATAACATATTGGTCTGAGGTTAATGGATTTTATAAAAGCTATGCGCCTGAAATTGGTATTGCTATCTGCTTTTCTTGTAATCAATTAGTATATACTGGAAAACGAACCAAAAATACAGGCAATTACAACCATATAGGAATGGAGAGACATTGGGCTTCTCATTGTACTGGAAATTCCTTTTGTGGTGTAAATTATGATGAATATTTACTGAAAATCGAACAAAAATCTATTTCGAGATATATTTATGATAATGAGTATGCATTACACCGTTATGAATTGTGGATGCAAAATGCCATTAGAAGAATTAAGTGTGCAAGAGAAATCGGTAGAAAAATTCGAGCATGTAGAATTATACAGAGAAAATGGTTAGAAATTTTCTTCAGACCCGAAGGTATGTGTGCTACCGAATTAGCATTACATTATCAGTTATTATGGGCAGTTTGTGAAGAAATGCGACAAATTAACAATGTATAGCTTAATTTATTATAACATATCATTTATTCGATTTAATCTATTTATTAATGTATAACTTATTCATATATATTTTAAAATAAAATCACCTAAGGTATTCCTTGAGGGCTAGTACTTTAGACTTTATTTCGATACCCCTTGAGGGCTGGTATCTTTTTTTTGTACCAGATTCCCATGTAAACCGAAAATAGTTTATTAGATTTTTGCAACATCTAGGTTTCATGTCATCAAACTAATTTGGCTAAGTTCATAGAACATCTACATCGTGCAAATATGGTCAGTTGATGTCTTGTGCAACTATATGCAGGGATCTCTAAAATTGGATTGACCGCACATGGTTTAGATTCTTAAAATCATGCATATTTCAATTTTTTCCCATATATTATTGCGAAGCAATGACCCAAAGGGTCTACTATTACTATTAGTGTCAAAAATATTTATGGATCTCCAAATTTTTGCAAAGATATTAACCTTGCTAGCTCTGCTAATGTATACTTGAAAAAGGTAGATCGCGAAAGATCAAAGACCATGAATCAAATGAATATTACTTTTTTCCAATTAATCCTAAAATTCGAATTAGCAGTGATTAGAAATAATTTACTATAATTTACTATTATGATTTACTATATTTTAGCACGACTCTAGCATGACTTTAGCGCGACTCAAGCATGAGTGTATCATTTTTCATATAACTATATAGAAAAAATTCTAGCGCGACTCTAGCTCAACTCTAGCACGATTCAACCACATTTAAATCTATATATTTTTTCATACAAACTCATTTCATATGGCACAAAAATCCCCATATTAGAAATAATACATGGACTTGTATTAGCGAAGCTAGCAGGCTAATGCCATTGTTTTCAATATTCACTCTAACTTCACACCGGCATGATCAGTCAGCTCAATAATATGAGTGGCAGATAGAATAATGATTGAATACACGGAGGAGTGCATTTTATCTGAAATATATATCTACCTCAATTTCAACACTGGCTGGATACGTGCATCTCTACAGAGTGGCGAGTAAGATATATACTATATACTATATTCTGTATATAAAAAAATAGCGGGAGAAATATTATTATTTGATTGAACCTAGACATCTTTTTTCTATGAAATCGAAGGAAAAAAGTTACAATTGCAGAGGATAAAGATAAGTTATTCAAGCTTAGCGGAGTTAGCTTCACTAAAAAATCTCGATCATAATTTATTTTCTTTATTATGCAGTCAATAACTTGATCTCTTTTTCCAGGTTCAGAGGATTCATCCAACCGACTCTGATGGACATAGGATCGGAAATTGGTACAGTAGTGTCAAAAACTATAAACTCTCCATTCCACAAATAATTATTAATGACTCTGGAGGCTTTACGTGGATCCTCCTCTATGTATTGTCTTATAATTCTTGCAATATCTTCTGTGGATCCTCCGCCATTAAATAATACAAGATGCGTTGCATTCTCACGGATGATTTTTGGAACTTGAGTAAATTTATGTGAAATATAAATAGCAGAGATATTGTTATGTCATCCTCTATTAAAAAATGGAATGATATGATTATGAATCACTGGAGATTCAGTACACATATCCTCAAAAATAATTACTGTACAGTGCAAATCACTTAGTCCCACAACTTTTTATTGGTCATGTAGATTTTCAAATTCTCCAAAAATGGAAATGCAACACCCAAAAATAAATCGTGTATTTGAAGCCAAGACCTTCCTCTGCAAAATCACGATTTCATCTCATTGGTATGTCATGTTGTTGTGGAGAATTTGAGCTTCAAAGTTGCACAAGTTTACCGAATTTACTATGTTTTAGCCCTGAAATGGCGTGTTACACACAAAAAAGTTAATATCAAAAATAGGCGAATTGAAACAAAATAAAAATAAAATTTTTTTTTATAATGCTGATCTTTTATCACGTGAATTTCCCAGACATGAATCAAAAAAGAATTTTACAACAAACAAAAATCGTGGAAAAAAAAAAAAATTGAATTTAAAACGAATCCAAAAATCAATAATTTTAATTAAAATAATTTCACTCTGCCAGCAAGTCTTTTTTGTTCTTTTATCAGCTTTCAAATAAGCTCAGGTTTCCTATAACATGCCAAAGGTTAAAACACGGAAAAAAATGTGTATAAATGATGCCCAAAATCATATAGAAAATGAAAATATTAGCACAGAAGAAACAATCAATGGAAATGATATGGAAGAAATTCAACCAAATGAAGAGAATACACTAGCCAACAATAACCAAATAACATCTGAATCAAA